TTTTTTAAGCATTTTATATAGGCCTATAGATTTTATTTTAGTCAAGTGGTGATGATTTGAGAAGGCTAAATTGATCAAACATAGGCTATGATTAACTCACTGTCTGCCACTGGCCGCTTGGTCGTTACTTTAAAAACTAAAACTTGAATATAACAAACAAAAATATTTTCCAAACATATTTCTAAATTAACGTAATAAAAAGAAACGAAAATATAACCACTTTTGCCATTAAAAACGAAACGGAACAATTTTAATGGCTACAACAGCAGCTGTGTAATTGGGGAAGAGAGAAAGAGAAAAAAGACACGGGCTCCAGTCGGACTCGGCCAGTAATTCTGATAATCTGTCGGATAAGGCCCGGACTAGGGCATATGTTTGAGGCCCGTGCAGGGTTCTGCTGAGTTTATTTGGTAGCAACCTCAATACTCGTATACGCACGAGCGCACTTTAGATGTGACTGCACACCGCCTCTGGAGTGCGCGAGTACCGAATGGCTTAAAAAGACGTGCAAATAAATAATAAAATTTTCTGACGATGCAACAATGACCCGATTAGGCAAGTGACTATTCTGTCAACTGTCCCGAAACGCGAGTGAAAGTCTTGTATCGCAGCGTGCAGCAGCTCTTGTAGAGCAGACAAGATGCGCCGATGTGAAGCCGTTTGAAAAAAAAAGTCAAAGAGAGAAGACACGTACAGCTGAATCACTCACGCTGTTTTCAAATGACTGATTTGATCAGTCTGTGTGGACTGGACTCAGTCTGTAGGTTTGATTATTTACTCATCAAACCTACATGCTATAGGCTATTGAATAAATGTGTGAATATCCATAATTTTAAAGTCAAAAGCTGCGGGAATGAGTAAAACTATGTGATATAGCCTCTGCGCAATCCCGCACCGAAATTCAGGACCTGATTAAACACAATTCTATTATACAGAGTTTTGTGAAATAGATTTCAATGACTTTTCTCAAACTTTCTGGGTTTATTTATTTTTCCAAAACTTTTCCAAGCCTGGAAATTGGTGTTTTAAAATTCCATGACTTTTCCAGGTTTTTCATGACCGTACGAACCCTGAAGTCCACACAGCCATGTCCTGTTGTTGTGATTTCCTGTTTACCCTCACAGCCTCGTTTTCGAATCAAAATGGCGGCGGGCTGAATAAGGCGTAGTGGATCCACGGTTTAAACTGGACTGTGTCGGTGAGGACAACAAAGTCAGTGTCAAGGACAGACTGACGAATGAGATGACTAGCATTGCTATGGTAAGTATATCTTTACATGATTCACGATACACTTTGTCTCACAGAGTAAGAAATTTACATTAGGCTACATTGTTTAAAGCTGCAAATAATTGAAATTGGATTTAGCTAACCAACTTTAGTTTTTAACTGCTGAGATGTTACTTTTGTTAGCAAGTGTAGACTATTGAGATTTTTAAGTGATATTTTCTCTTTTCCAGCAAAGTCCCCCCACTACTGCCCCCAGCACCCAGTCTTCGCTGCCCCCCGTAGAAAAGTAGAGAAAGACCTTAGGCAGTTTTTTTAAAGCAGCAAAGGGCAGTGAGGCAGCAGACCATCTGATGCTTCTTCTCAAGAGAATGATGTTGACATGGAGCTAGGCTCATATCTGCTCACAAGAAACATTAACAGCGAAGATGACCCCTTAGTTTGGTGGAAGGAACACAAGGGACAATATCCCAAACTGTCTGTGCTGGCAAGGAAATACCTCTGTGTCACTGCTACAAGTTCCCCATCAGAAAGGGTTTTCAGCACAGGGGGGAACATTGTAACATGCCTGCGTTCCTCCCTGAAACCTCGAAATGTTGATAGGTTAGTGTTCTTGGCCAAGAACCTTTAAGGTTTTGTGCCGATTGGAGCAAAAAGCACAGGTTCTATTTAGCTATTTTTATTTATTATTGTTAACGTTCTCTTATGTTCAAAAACATAAAGCTTTTAAGTTGTTCACTTTAAGGGGTCTAAAATAAAGAAAAGAGACAATTTTTTGTTACTCCAGCCCTTTATTATACTGAATGTCCTGTGTTTTGTTTTTTTTTGTTTTTTTTGTACTTGAGTGCAATAAATTTTGGTTGAAAAAATGTGAATCGTGATTCCCATGGGGAAAAATCGTGATTCACATTTTAGCAAGAATCGTGCAGCCCTAATTCATATATGAATTGATTTTTACATGCACCTTTAGTTTTCTCTTCCTCTTCTCTAAAGCAGCACAGCATGGCCTCGCTCCCTTTGTTGCATGTTCCCGAGGGCGGGGTTTGGCTGGGTTTGTGATGTCACGAACCCGGGCAGTAACTCGTTGTAGTCCCTACAAGCCGTTTTTGTAGGCATTAAACTGCCAGAATTTTAAAA